TGCCTCTCGGGTAGCCACTGTTAGCCTCTTGTCTTCATCAGGAAGTGGGGGAAGTTCCCCTCAACTTTACCTTTTATTTACTGAAGGTAAGGTTTCACCTTTGTCTGCTGTCCTATTGACATTATAAGCTCTGCAGCTGAGAATTTTGGAGCTGCTTGAAGTTTTAGATGGCTAGTGAGAAACGATTTCTCAGTCCTGTGAATGAAAACTCTGACCTCATTCCTGTTCAGTGTTTAATTTGAGCTGAAATTTACTCCCAAAAGCTGGGTTTGGACTTCTTTTGGAGTAACTTCTATAGACAGAAAAGTTTTTGCCATGACATTGTATCCCAGTGTTACTGTCTTACTTGAGAGCGCTTGCATTGTTTCAGGAACAGATACAATGCTTCTTGAAGATTACAGCTCAGATGGCCCTCATGCCCCACACTGTGTCTGTCCTCCTCGAAGGAGGAGTTCAGTGACATTTGAAGATGAAGTAGAGCAAATTAAAGGTGAGTTTAGGGGTAAGTATGAAAATGCTCAGAACGAACTACATTACCTGCTCAGGAAGCCTCTCAGGACCTTCATAATTGTCTCACAACATCACTGACCACTCCTTGCCTTGACAGACCTCACCATTCATGCAGGTACAAGAGAAAGCAAGATCAGGTCCATCTTCCAGTTCTCAAGTAACAACAGACAAGGACAAGAGTTAGAAGCTGAGATCCCCTGTATACATATAATTTATGTAGCACAGCAGTATCCTCTTTGCAACTCCATTCATCTTGGTGGCTGTTGCAGTCTGTTTTGTGTTTGTCAGAGAATATATTTTCCTGCCCTCATATTTTGATTGCATTAATCCCTGTGTTCCTCATTTGGCCTCCTCTCAACTTTATCATTCACAAACTTGAAATTCTTCTATTTACATGATTGAATAGTCTGAATATGATTTCATCTGTTACACTTACTTTTTTTACTCAGCTTCTATTTCACTTTGCTGGGTATATCCTCAGCAGCTATGTATGAAAATAGGTAAACCACATGCACTTATTTCAGTCAAATCACTTGTTGATTCTCTGCTAGCAAAGTGTTGATGTGATCATCTATAAAATGTTGGAAAGTTATTTAGGCTGGTAGTTACAGTAATATGGAATAGAAGGCTAACAACCTGATTTTCCTAACAGTACGTGATTGTGGACAGTATGAAAATGAGCAGAAAACCTTTAAGATTCAAGTAATAACAAAACCTGGGATAACGAGAATTCTTTCTATGGAATTTTTAAACATCTTAGCAAAATTCACTTTGGTCCTCTTTTCAGCATGAGATTAATATTTCCTTGTACAAATACCTTATCGTATACGTTGCCCATTATTTTTCTGCATGATGAAATGGGAGCTTGATGTCTGATTTTTCATCTGAGCAAAAGAGGAAGGTTTTAGTGAAAAAGTTCCTCATAGGCTTAGCAATTCTCCCCAGTAAGTCTCAGGATTTTCAGGATCTCTGAGACTTTAAATTCAGCAGCCTCACTGAAGAGCTACATTTAGGATGAACACCTTTGTTGCTCAACATGTTGGTAGGTAGAGAAGTATGCAGATGCTATAAAAACAACTGCACCAGTACCAAAGAGCAGGTGTATCCCAGGTCACTCTGGATATTGTGTTGATAGAATGGTTTGTAAATGTGCTCTGTTGAACAGTTATTTTGCAGAGGGCATGATCATAACCATACAAAAGGATCAATATTGCTCTTCAAGCGTTTGCACAGCCGTGCTGATCAACACTTACGTTGCCTTTTTTTACCTCTTTTTTTCTTCCAGAAGCTGCGAAGAATTCCGTTCTTCATGTAAAAGCCGAAGTCCATAAATCTCTGGACAGTTATGCAACCAGTCTAGCAAGAGCTATCGAAGCTGACGTGAAACTCAGCTTGTTTGGGGAAGATGCTTTACCAGGAGCCCTGTTCCCGGTGCGGACTCTGCCAGGAGGCAGCATGAACACACGGCGTGGTGCCAGGCCCCATGCTAGCCAAAGACTGAAGTTGCAGAGCATCGATGAAGGGAATATTTGACACCAGCACTGGAGTAAGAAAACAGAACAAAACCACTAAGCAGGACCTATTACAGCTGTTAGTGTTTCAACAGAACCAAGATACCTTGTCGGGATGTTTTCAGTGTTTTTTCAAGACTTGAAAACCAGCTGAATTTTGGTACTTGCATCAGCATTTTACAGTAGTGTTTGTTTACTGTTTAGGGTGCTATTGACTCTTCTGTGCCATGTCTTTATCACACAGTTCATAGGAATGCAAGGTTTGATTTCACTGACCAGATCATTAGTCTGTTGAATCTTGGGCCCATTATTGGCCAAAGCTGATACAGGAAAAAAGCAGGAAAAGTATATGCAGTATTTAATTTATTGTTGTATCCTTCATCTTCTGAACACCAGGATAATCAGCTGATACTTGATAGCTGGACTGCTCTGATAGGAGCTTGTGCATGGGATACTACATACAGCCTTAGTGTCACATACTCCTAGATGAGGAGCATGGACTTCACTAAGTGCAAAACCTGAACTTTTCAGAGAGCTCGTGCAGATTATAGTTCCACTTACCTTTGCTGGGGGTATTTCTGTTTGTTCAGTGCTCAGAATGGCACATCACATCTGACACTGGACTGTGCATTGCTTTAGTGGTACAGAGCACCAGCCTCTCTGGATATAGTGGATGGGAGCAGACCTGTGCTGGAAAAGCATAAATATGGTATTTGAGGAAATCATTAATGCAGAATTCTTAGTTTCTCTTAGTTTCTCTGAGAACTTCAGCTCATGTCCCTGGTTTTGCTGTTACTAAAATGGCACTCTGTGGCTGTGCTAAGCTTGACAGAATATAAACAAGATATTGCCACTTCATATTCAGGATTCATCTTTTCTAGAGAGAAAAGAGTTGTTTGGTTGTTTTTGGTTTTTCTTTAGTCATGAGGGAATGTAGTATTTAAGCTATACTTACCTCAGTGCTTCTATTTCTTGGAGTATTAATTAATCTCAAAAATAAGAACATTTGGCACTTATATTGCACTTTGCATGTTCTTAAGCACTGTACAGACATTACCTTGTTAGGCCTTTGTGAGAGGGTTGATCAGCCCTGCTTGCCAAAGAAGGGGAACCCAGCACAGTCAAACTGCTGGCAGTGAAACAGCCTGCAAAGGTGGAAAGGTTTGTTATGAAAAGAGGGATGAGGTGGATCATATAAGTATATCCAGCTTCAGGAACCTTTCTGTGCCTTCCTGGGCTACCCACTTCCATACTTTGGAGGGGTTACAGCCCTGCCTTACTACATATTTCAAAGAGAGGGAAGCAAAAGTGATCAGGATAATTCCTTGGGGGTGGGCAGTGAGTAGCAAATGGACTTAAGGACCAAGGATTTGCATTTGTTTACTCTGTGTCTGCTTTCCTGTGCCTCCACCTTTCCCCAGAAGTGGCTAGTGTGACGTTTTGCTGGAGATTGTTTGGAAATCAGGAGCAGGATGTTTCCATCTGGGCAAAAACTGTGTGTCTTTTTGTGAGTTATTCAGAGACATAGAAGCAAAGTGTTGTGAGGCAGAGCCTCCGTCCAGTACTGTATTTAGACATCCTATTTGTCTGTGTTCCCGACTCAGAAATGTATTTCAGCACAAGCTTATGTCCATCTCTGGACAAAGCAACTTGACTTTATGGACTTGCCTGAATCCTATTAAGTTCCCATGCAAAATATAACTGCATACTTAAAATTCAGTACATGGTTTGCTGATTTAAGAACAGGCTGTTATAGTAAGAACACTTAAGCTCCAATAAGATTGCTCTTTACATAATGCAGGAACAAAACAATAAGAGGGAGGTTCTCACTCCTGCATTTTTTGCTTCTAGTGTGTTAGATAAAACTGGCACCTGTGGGCACTCTTTAAAAATAAATAACACAAAATCGCAGTATTTGCCAGGAATTGCCCTGCAGTGAGGCCATTCTTGCTATCGTTAACATTACAATCACAGCTGCTCCTAGTACTCAGCACTCCTTAAGGTCCACACTTGCCTGCTTGCTTCGAAGTATCTTGTCTGCATCCCTTTTATTCAATATTCCTGCTTCAGAACAAGCTGAGCAAAATCGTTGCTGAGTGTGAAAAGGACACACAGTTCGTATACATTGTGGTGGAGACGGTGCCGGCCCAAAACAGTGTTCAGGCGGGCATTGCAGGGCATCTGTGAAAGGACAAAATCGTTAGTATTATGTAAAAAGCACGTTTTTCACACAGGTACTGAGCCAAATTCGGCCTTCAGGCAGGTCGGGGACAGGTTGCGACAGTTTACACCGTGACTGGATTTGGCTGCCAGTGCTTATGTCACTAATCTGTTATTTAGTGTAAATGTTGTTAATATTTTTGTACACATGTTATAACCTTTCTGTAATTCTGCTACTACCCGAGTCATTCTCTCACCTGAGTTGTCATTAACGAAGAAATGCACACGTTTTGTAAAACTGTATTCCCCGTCCTAAATACAAAAGAAAACAAAAAACAGACTCATTTCTGGCTCTTGATGGTCTGCGTTGTTTGTTTACAGTACTGTAATTTCAACTTAAATTCATCTTTCAAGTGTTTTACTTTTAAAAGCGCATTCAGCTCCCAGGATGAGCCTGACAGCGGCAGCAGCTGCAGCAGTTTCCGCAGGACGGGGAGGCATTTTGGGTCGAGCAGGGCTCTCTGGGCACGGGGCAGGTTTTGGGAGCAAGGCGGTGCTGGATGCGATGCCGCGGCCGGTTTTGGAAGCTGGATGTGATCCCGATCCCGGGGCGGTGCCCAAGTCTTTCCGCAGCCCGGTGACCACGCCTCCTCCGCATGGCCACGCCCCCTTTCTGTCGCCCCACCCTCCTTTCCCCGCCCATGGGGCGCGCGAGGTGGGCGGGACACAGGGAGCACACAGCGCTGCGGCGATTGGCTGCGCACCGCCCCCCTTGCCCCGCGCTGATTGGTGGACGCGCAGGCGCGGGGCGGGATTGGCTGTTTCGAAGCGCCGGCGCGGCAGTGCCCCGTGGCCATGGAGGCTGTGCCGTGCGAAGAGCACGGTGAGGGGCGGCACGGGGGGGAGGGGGGTGTTGGGTGTGAGGGGGTCCCGGTCCCGGTCCCGGTCCCGGTCCCGGTCTGACCAGTTCCGCACTTCCCCGCCCCGCAGGGTCCCTTTGCTTCCTGAAGACGGGCGTCCGCGACGGCCCCAACAAGGGGAAGAGCTTCTACGTGTGCGGGGCGCGGGGCTCCGCGAAGTGCGGCTTCGTCCTGCCGGCCCCGTAAGTGGATGGGGCGGTGGGACAAGGGACACGGGGCACCCGCGGGTGCCCTCAGGGAAGCTCAGTGCCGTGTCAGCGCTGTCTGACTCACGCAGTCTTTGTTTGGTCCCACGTGATAGTTTTGTTTTGCCGTGGCTGTTCCCCGTCTCGTCTGTATTCTTCCGGTTGTCCTTTCCTCCTTTCAGTGTCCCTGCTTCTCACTGCTTGATCCACGAGGGATGCGTGGTGGAGCTGCAGGTCCTGGTCCAGCAGCAGGACAGAGATGAATACCAGTAAGTTCCTCAACTTTTTAAAAGCTGGATATCTGCTTTAAAACAGGTAAAACCTACATTCCTTTTTCCATCTTTGTCTTATGTTCAGTGCCTAAAATAGCCTTCTTAAACTGCTTCTGACTAATGATCCTTTGGGGTTTGCAGTTACAGGGCAGAAAACTTGAATCCTGTGATTTAGTAGTTTTTCTGTAATGAGGCTTCCACATCCACACAAGCTGTACCTGTGTCCTGTGGGGGAAGAAGGGCTGTTCTTAAAACATCTCATTTTTATGGCATATTTGAAGACTTAGAATGCTACCTCTTAAAAATTAAGAGGCTGTTAACTCTCTTCATTATTTTTGAACAAGTGAAAGACTTGAACTGGCAGTCTTTCAAAGTGGAAAGGAGGGTTTGTTGTACAAGTTGGAGAATTTGGAATTGTTTGATGGCAGCTGACTTGTAGTTTCCTTCTAGAATTGAAAAGACAGATATTGTTTGCTTTTAACAGATATGAACGTGACTCTGTGGTTGAGTTCATCCAGAATTCATGATGGCTGCATCAAATTCACCAGTTTTAATTCTGATAAAGTTTGCAGCACTCCTGGTTGGCTGCCAGTTAAAAAAAAGAAGTCACATCCAAATTTTTTCTTAGTTGCTTTAAGATGAGGTGGCCTGTGCAGTGTAATTACACCTTGAAATCATAGGATTCTTCTGATGCTCTGAACTTAAATAATACTTTTGCCTGAGCAGTTACTTTTTTATTGCTAAAATAAAAAAAATTAAAAAAAAAACCACAACAAAATAAGCCCAAACCCTAGGAATCCTTACCCAGGGAACACTGCTCTTGTAAAAAGCTTTGTTGCCAATGTTTGTTATGGAAAAACCTGATGGTAAAGTACAGATTAAGGGAACTTTTTTGTGCAAAGTACTTCTTAAAGAATGCTTAGAGCTTCTTTACTGGTTCCTGTGGTTCAAATCTTGTTTTAATTTTTGGTAGATTGTTTTACCGATGCCTTAAAAGTAAGTTGAATGGGAAGAAATGGTGTGGAAGCGTCCCATGGCAGGTATGAGTGTTTTGTTTGAATTATAGTATCACCTTATTCCAACATGACTTTTCATTCCTTATCCAGTCATCACCTCTGAGACTATTTAGTGGGAGAGTTTATATTTTCTAGGTGAAAAGTGTATCAGCCTTCTGTCCTATAGATGAGACTTTCTCCTAAATTGTGAAGTGCTCAATGTTTTCCAGTCTTAAAAGAAACCTAGATTTGATCTCTGGCTCTTTTCTCAAGGATGATGCTCTTGGGACTTGATCCCTAAAAAACATGGGAATGGCAAAGAAAGCAGAAACCCAGTAGTTTTGTTTTGGCTTTCTTGTAAAATGTTCATCCTGATTCTATTAAAATGATAGGCAAGATGATCTTTGTAGAGGATGAAGGCTTGCTTGAGATGATCAGGTTCTGTGTGTTGTTAACAGGTTTAATAAGTTGTATGTCAGCATTTACTCACTTTTATGTGTTGCAGGATCCAAAAGCTACCAAAGTGTCAAAAGCGTTAGAATCCCAGCCCAACACAGCACTCCTCTCCAATCCCACCAGCCAAAGAAATCCATTCAAAGTGCTGGACAAGAATTGTGCACCGTCAATCTGGAAACAAATGAACCAAGGAAACGGGGAGGAAAGTAAAGCAAAAGGAGTAAAAGTAGAGAAGGAGAGCATGCTGGTGTCACGTAAAGAAAAGAACTCAACCTCTGATTCCTCAATAGAGACACAACCTCTAGAAGGGCTGAAAACTAAAAAGAAACCATCCACAGGAAGTACAAGTGATCCTGAACTTCAGGAAACTACAGTGTCTGAATCTGAACTTGACCTTTCTGAGACTAGGAAAGGGAAAAATACTGTTTGGGAGGAAAAGAAATATGGTGGCAGTGGCAGGGAATCCAAGAAGTCTTCTGAATGTGTGGACAAAGAGCCAGGCGCAAGATCAAAACTCTTTTCACTAAATCTTGAAAAGCAGAATACAAGTGCTAAGCTACCAGAGGACGAGCAACTGGAAGAAAAAAGCTTAAAAATCTGTAGAGATAAAGAAGTGAGAGAGAAAGGTTCCACTGGTCAGAAAAATGGAGAAATGAAACCTGAAGATTTAAAACCTAAAGTGATGCCTAAAGAAGATGCTATTTCTCCAGCAGTTCCACCTTCCCTGTGCACTGCTCTGGCAGGAGAAGCAGAGGCAGCGCCACCCAAGGCACAAATCAGGCCAGGGCTGCCACAGCCTGCTGGTGAAACCTCTGGCAGTGACAGTGATGAAGTACAGTTTGTTCATTCCTCATCAGGTAAAAGTAAACCTGAGAAAACAGTGGAGATTCCTTCGGGAAAGAGTGTGCAGGGGGCATCTTTGCCAGGAGCAACAGCATCACATCACGTGGAAAGACCCCAGGACCGTAAAGAGCTTCATAACCATCTTGTAGTCCAGCTGAATCAGAAAAAGGTCATTTATTGCACTTACTTATTTAGGGGTTTAATTGTTTTGTGTTCAAGGTGACTTCCCTTACTCATGACAGGTATCAGAATACGGTATCACCTCACAGCAGAAACTCAAAAAATGGTTTAGGAAGATGGGGCAAGGGAGGGAATTCAGCCTATGCTGAATTCAGACTAGTTGTATTAAGCAGATAGAAGACAGGTAATACAACTTTCTGTATTTGGGAGTGCTCAGTTTTGACCTACCTGAGATTGTGTCTGTCTTTTACCCTGAAAGTAATTTGCATTAGATGCATTAGTGCACAGCCAGGTTAACCTTTTTAAATAACCTGGCTGTTTCTGGTGGTCTCTCTTGGCCTTGTGTAGTAAGACTGATCTAGCTACAAAAGCTTGCACTAAGACGAAATAAAACTGATTGATCTATCTACAAAAGCTCACATGAAGATGAAATAAAACTGTTTGTTTTTTTTTAATAGTTGCCAATAACTATGTTCTATAGTTTTTATTACCCCCATTTGCCTAGACTACAGAACAGAGCCTCAAAAGAAAGTCAGAACAATTGTTTGTGCTGGTGTAGAAAGAAACATGCAAGCAGGTTAAACGTTGGGTTCTTTGAGAGATGTTAAGTTTGTCCAAGTCACTTGAATACCAGTTTTATAAAAATAGGGATGCCCTATGTCCTTCCGTCTTTTCTAAACAACACTAAGTGTTTATTTGTTTTCTGCTAAAAGACTACTTAATTGCATTGAATGGCACTTGAAAGCTTTTGGAGATTGCAGAACAGTATCAAAATATAAGTTAATATGGCATAAGATTAATGTTTTTAAACTTCTGACCTGATTGTTCTGTGTTGGCAGAGAGCTTGGTAACCACATTCAGGTTTTGGTTTCTTTCTTGTTTTGCAGAGTACATTGGCTAGAGTGAACATTCAACTGCTCCCAGATAAAGGAGAAAGGTTATTAAAGCAAGTGCAGGATTTGGAAGCTGCACTCAGTGCTCTTAACATTTCAACAGCAGATACTAATGAAAAAGGTAGGGCTACAATTTTTTTGCTCCAGAACTTTATGAAACAGCTTGTCTTACAACAGTTGTTAATGTTGAGGAAATATAGTATAAACTTGCATATGGTTTGTCTGTTGAGATTCTCTGAAGATGAAAAGTGTTAATTGTAAAGTATAAGTTTGGGAGCAGATGAATGGAACAACTCTAATGTTTCCTCTGAAGTGTGGTGGCTTCCCAAGGGAGTTTCCTCCCAGAATTAGGATCCAGGGCTAGTTTTCCCTCCAGCTTTGGCTACATGATTGAGACAGGTGTCTCTACTAGACAGTGGCAGTGAAGTGTTAACTTCCTCTGTTGCAGTGTGGAACCATGCTATTTATGCATGTTGTTGTGTCTGGATTTTCAGGTAGCAGATACAAAATAAGGAGCTTCCAGCTTGCCATTCCTATGAAGTGATTTCCAAATTCTATTAACTAGTATTAATCCCCTGTGCAAGAGAGAAGCCTTTTGCTGAGTTACCTCTACAATCACCTCAACAGGAGAATTACTTTGTGATCACAGTATCAGTTGTGTTGTTGATGAAAAGATCCAGTTTGGCAGCTCTGGAAACTGAAGATCTCTAGCAAGGAAGCAGGAGCTCACAAGCTACAACACAACAAAGCAGCCACACTGCCTTATACCGTATCTGGTTTTAAGCAAGACAGACCTTTCTGTGAAGGAGAGAGAAGCTCACAAGTTCTTGGCCCATTCGTTCTTTGATGTTTTGATAATTTTTGTGTCCAAAATATTGACAAGAAGGATGTCTTCAAAATTAATAAATTATCTGGGAACAGTGTGCAAAACTGGCCTTGTGTTTGCACTAATCTGATCACAGTTGCAGAGTTCACTGTGTTGCTATAAAACCATGTATTGAGGCTGCAGCTGAGCTCATTGCCTGTCACGTAGGAGCAGACTAAGAGCACACACATTAGTATTTGTAGTGGCTCAGGTGATGTGGTGACCTGCTATTGAATTGGTGTGACCACTTAATATTTTGCAAGCAGACTATTGAGCAAAACGAAGGCTCTTTGGCTCTGAGGTTCACTGTGAAACCTTTGTAGACTGTGATTCCTTTCTCCTTAAGGGCAGGATAGCACAAGCAGCAGCTGCCGTGGAGAATCCTTGCCTAACCCATGTGACAGGCCAGGTGGTACGAAGTTGATAACACCACTCCCACTCCAGGATCCTACAGCAAAGGCCTCCTCAGGCTCACACAGTCACCCTTCTGCTGCTGTTACTTTGGGTTCCAGTGAATATTGTGGCCAAAGTTTTGGAAGTAAGTATAGAATGATTTTTTTTTTTTTTTAATTAAAAAGAACACTGTTAAGTACTACTTCTGAAATAATCCTGCAATTTGTGGACATATGTGAGAGTACTCAAACTTTTTTGTTACTGTGAGATGAATATCACCCCCCAGGCATCTGTAGCTGCTGAGGTCAGTCTCTGAAATGAAAGATCCGCTTGGGAAAGTTATCATTGTAAACACATCTTATGCCTAATACTGTATCTTTGCAGTGAGCTTCGGTATGCAGAATCTATATGGGGGAAGAATGACACAAGACCGACTCAGGGCTGTACACAGTGCCACATGTGAGGCTATTAATCAGCTTCACAAATCTCTAGAATCCTGTCCGACAGAGCAGACAGTAGCTGAAGATCCCTCTGGATTGAAGGTGGGTTGGCAGGGATGGAGGCTGTCATGCTGATGAATGAAGCATAACCTCTGAGTGATACCCTAGAGCATCCCTTCCTTTCCACTTTGACGTAGTTTGCAGTCTTCATCGCGCTGGAAGGAGATATTCTAATTACATTCCATCCATGGGTGTTGCTTTATATTGCCAGTCGTGGTGTTCTGCCCTCTTGCTGTGGTGCCTTCAGAACTCTTAGTGCTTGAATGAAGTAGCAGGGCCTCAGACAAAGCAACCAACCCACAACCTTCTGTTTGTACATGACTGGCAGAACAGAGGTGTCAGGTACAGGCTGAGAACCTTATTGTTCTTTTTTTCCTGGTGAGTTACAAGAAATGGTCTTTCAAAAAAGTGTTGCAGGTGATTGACTTCATTCAGTGCCACAGATATTCTGGTCTGCCAGAGAGCAGCTCCTTACCTGTCAGGTGATGCAGAGCCCATATTTGAGGTTATATGCAAGGTATTGGAAGGCACATGCCTCTGAAAGATGATGTGTTGGTGCATATATGTTGTGTCACTTGTCACATCATCTTGGGACCTCTCAAGTAGTGGGGAAGGCCATTTAATGTTTTGTGATGGTAGTACGTAGTCCCTCTTCCTGTTTTAAGAGTCTGTAGAGGTCTTAGACTTAGTGGGAAAAGGGGAAGTGTTCTCAATGCCTTTCCTTGACAGTGATACCTGTTGTGAGCAAGGTGGTCTTGGGTGGGTTTTCCAACTGCTCTCTCAGAGCACTGTGAGGCACTGGGTTAGTTTGTCCATGAAGCATTAGGAAAAGTCATCTATGGTACTGCTGACCTCCTGTCTGCAGGAGTTGCTTACCTTGGGTATCCCAGTCCATGTGGAAAAAGAACAGGAATGTAAACTCCTTCTAGTAAGATGGTAGTAGAACAGTTCAGCAGGGTGATTGCTACAGGAAGCAGAAGTGTCTGAATTTTGCAAGGTGTTTCCTTCAAATCCTCTGTCTCGCCCTCTCAGGTTCCACTGCTGCTGCACCAAAAGCAGGCACTCGCCTGGCTACTCTGGAGAGAGAGTCAGAGGCCGTGTGGAGGAATTCTGGGTAAGCAACAGAACAGGAAAGTGGATTTTGGGGGGCAGATTTATGGCAGCAGCAGTTTGGCATGTAACTTCCTTGGAGGCCAATAACTAATTATTTTGTAGGCATGTTGAAAGGGCTTGTTTTTCTATACGCTCTTACCAATTACAGCTATTAACAATTACAAAAACATACCCTGAAATTTTCATACGTGTGTTTTTTATTTTCTGGGTTCCCCAGGGCAATTTCTGTTGTAATATTTACCTCAGTGTAGATCTGAGCTAAAGGGGCTCATTTCTGCAGCCCATCACAGCTTCTGTGTGTCTCTTTGCAGCGGATGACATGGGCTTGGGGAAGACTCTAACGATGATTGCTCTCATTCTGGCCCAGAAACAGCTGAAGACAGAGAAAAGAAAGGAGACCGTAGACATATGGCTATCCAAAAATGGTACAATTTTTATACTGAATAATATAAATTAATTTATAATGTTTGAATTTATAATAAATATTTTATATTCATTACTTTATATTGTTTTGGGATTTATTTTTTATTGGCTATTTTCCTGAACCAATTAAAGCCAGCATATGCTGTTTTGAAAAAAGCTTCACAGTTTTTTAAATATAAGCAAACATACACATAGTTTTCATAAGGACTTAGCATAGTCACTACTCAGCTCCCTGTGACTGATCTTTTTTCTTTTCCCCCTCACCCCCAAGATTACTTTTATCTTAGCCATAGACATTAGGGATGTTAGAGTTTTTAAAGAGTATTGCTTCTGTGTCCACAACCTGTTACTGTCTGCATCCTCATGAGACTGGCTAGACTGCTTTTTGTTGTATTGCCAAGTTTACTGACTGTGTGGATGTGTTCTTTCTGTGTGGTTCAAAATGGTAACATTTCAGTCTTGCAGAATAGCAAAGAAGAGTTTACTTGGTACTGTGTTCTCAGTAGGTATTAGAGTGTTAGTTCCTGTGTTCTAACCTTTCAGGCTTATCCAGAGGAAGTGCACAGGTATATAGCATAACTGAGCAGACAGGAAGTGATGCATTAGTGTTTAAGTAGATTTTTTTCCCACCCAGAACTAACAGTCCTCAAGAGTGTGATGTAGAGATGTCCACAAACTGTGCTCACAGGAAGAGTGGACCAGTCTTCTTAATTGTTGTGAATTTCCAAAACTTCTGTCATTGTTCTAGTCTGAGGTGAAGACATTGAAACCTGTCTGCAATATTTCCTTTCAGATTGCACTGTTATCCCTTCCCATGGCACTTTAATCATTTGTCCTGCATCCTTGATCCATCACTGGAAGAAAGAGATTGACAAACGTGTCGCCTTTGGCAAACTGAGGGTCTATTTGTACCATGGGCCAAACAGAGATAAACATGCAGAGGCGTAAGTACTAAACCATAAATATGACCAAGAAAAGTAAAATACTATGTAGCAAGAGATTGTGTTTATCCAAGCTGAAATTCAGTGGCTGTAGAATGATGAAAGAATGTGAGGTGTGGAAACATGGAGGAGCTTGAAGGCTGATGTCTGCTGTCAAGGTGTATCTAGCAAAACATTTCTGACCTGTACCCCTACTGAGTGGTTCTGGTGGAAACTGTTATTCCTTCTGATAGGAAAAAAGGGTGTATATTCTCTAAAATGTCTCTTGCTTGCAGGGATCATCAGTGGCAGTTTCTCCCATGCTTGTGTTTTGTGGTTATTGGGGTTTTTTTTTAATGAGCTCTGTGTATAGATCATAAAGTTCTCTACACCTCTTCATGCTGAGCAGTATTTCTAGGTGCAGTATTTCTAAGCAGAGTTCATCCCATGTGGTGTGCATTCTGTACCACTGGCTTTTACTGTCACCTTGAGCTTGCTGTGTCTACTTTCAGTAACTATAAAATGGGGACAATGCGTCCTTACTGTTTGACTGCTGTCAAGCTCAGTTTTCTGTAAAACTCAGCATTTCAGCCCCTGGAGAACTGTGTTGTTCTTAAATGTATCCTTCAGCGTGCATTGTGTCTGTCTTGCAAAAGGAATTCATCATTTGTTCTTGCTCCTGATTACTACTTTCCCTTTGTCAAGGCTTTCTGGATATGATGTTGTTGTCACAACCTACAGCCTTGTCTCCAAGGAGGTTCCCACAAGCAAAGAGGAGGGGGAAGTCCCTGCTGAGGACCATGATGTGGGGGTGAGAAGCCAAACTGTTGATTGGGAATTACCTTAAGGTTTTGTTCTTCTGAGGTGTTCCAAAGCCATTATTGTTTCAAGTAGCACCTCATAAGTGCTACAGTGAGCAGCAGCTTGAATTTTTCTTTTCCATAAGACCCTGTTGAGCTTGCACAATAAAGTGATGAAAGTGCTGTGAAGTGCAGAAAGGCGATGTCAACCAATACTCACAATGAATCTGTTCTGTAGAATTGTAGAATAGTCTACGTTGAATACAATGCAAATGTCTTAAAACGCGATTTTAAGAACGCAGTGATTAATCTTGTACTCTTCCTTTTGAGCTGAACAAGCAGTAGAATCTCCCATTTGATGTTCTTGGTTGCTTGAAGCACTGATGTCACTTTAATCTACCAGAAACCTCTTTTGCTCAGGCTCTGGGTCAGTCTGAACTAAGACTGAGGCAGCTGATGTGCTGCCTTGAAGAAAGAGCAGTGTGCTTGCTAGGCCATGAAAATATTTAAGTGCTTGCTGAATGCTAACTGAAATGACTACACAGCATAGAGGAATCCCCTTGCTGGTGTGGATATTGCTGTCTCCTACCTCTGTATACAGATCTAGATGTAGCTCCTCTTAAACTAAACAGGACTTTGAATTTCCTTAAACTTCTAGGGGGGATCTATAAAACTGTTGAGAGATCAGAATAATTATATGTATTCTTTGGTCTCTGCCTAGAGAAACTGATATGGAATGACTCTTTGGAAACTAGAAGTAATGTAAAAAGCAAGAAAAACAGCAAAATATTAGAATTTTTTATTAGGAACAGGCAAATGTGTTATAGTCTTCAGCTTATAAACTCTCATGGAAGCTTTAAAGAAATTATTTTTGGACACCATTTCTTACCTGACAGTAAGAACACAAATTACTGCTGACTAACATCAGGAAAAGACTTCTTGCTGGAAAAATATGTCTGTTTGTGGCTCTCCAAAGAGCTATAAGGTTACTGCTCTAGGTTATAAATAGGCTGCTTTTTCTTTCAGAGTGGGTCATCTCCCTGTTCCCCCCTGCTCAGGGTAGCTTGGGCTCGACTTATACTGGATGAAGCTCACAATATTAAAAACCCAAGGTCCCAAACCTCCATAGCTGTGTGCAAGCTGAGAGCCAGTGCCAGGTGGGCCGTCACCGGGACGCCGATACAGAACAACTTGCTGGACATGTACTCCCTCCTGAGGTGAGCTGGCTGCATGTGACCACAGGGACAGGACCCCGATCTTACTAATCCTTCTCTGATGAAAGGCTGAAGTTGTTTCTAAGTTTGAGATGTTTCTGAGATGTCTGGAGTAGTGAGACCAGTTATATTAACATTTCAGGCACTGAATTGCAGAGGTTGTGGCTGAGGCACAAGGTTGACCATGTGTCTTCTGTTGGTTTTGTGCTTTCATGTAGCTCTTCTCCTTCCAGTGAGGACAAAGGGGAAATTACCTCAGATCTATGTCTCCAAGATGAATATTCACACAACCAATTGTAATGAAAAGAAGTTTTGTGAGTTAATCCTTGTTGCTACCAGGGCAGCCTGGGAGGACCTTCTTAGAGTGTTGTGCTACAAGAGAAAGGGCAAAAACTTTGGCTTCTCTGAACAAATGATAAACAGATGCTCTTGGTTGTTGAGGGGGGAAAGATTACAAATGGTCTTGGACAAGCAGAGAGAACTTACATATGAAATTAATTTTGGGTAACTGAAATTAATTTTCAAGTAAGAAGCTTGGTATTTTGAAATAACAAATGAATATATTTTTTGGCAAGTGCCTCTGCACCTTAATGCCCTTCATTTGTTGGTGATGCTTGAGACATAATGGGCTAAGAGGAAGTGATGGTTACAGCATCAGAAGGAGGTGATTACAATGTTAGTGATGGCAAGAATTTCCAGTGAACAAATTTTCACCACCATTACACTGGAAGTGTTTTATTGCTCCTTGGTTATGCAGTTACAACATTTGGATATGGTTTGTTTTGGATAGGAAGGAATTTGGCTCTGGTCACTCAAGAGTAACTGAAAAACTCTTCTTCCCTTAGTATGAAGTCTCCTTCCTTCCTGTCACAGGTTTCTACGTTGCCCTCCTTTTGATGAATACAAAGTGTGGAAGTACCAGGTAGACAACAACACGAAGAAGGGAGCCGAGAGGCTAAGCCTCTTAACCAGGAGCCTCTTACTGCAGAGAACTAAGAACCAGCTGGATTCCACTGGCAAGCCCTTGGTAAGAACTTCACCCTACACAGCTATACCGCCATTCCATTGTTTTCCTTGTAGCAGACACTCATGTCTGCTTATTTACCTGCATAAATTTGTTAATGGGTGGGTTTTCCTGTCTACTGCAGCCTCTTGAGCAAGAGAAGGAAATACCTGTGGGATGCTCTAGTTGCTTATCCAGAAGGCAGAAATATACACAGTAACTAAACCTTTGTTATAAATTGTATGCAGACAAGAACATGTCAAGTAATTGCAAGTAGATGGCTGCTGAAGTGGAAAGTTAGCCTAGGCTGCTGAACTAGACCTCTGAGAATCAAAGCTGCTACCTGTCAGATGGACCTGGTGTGTGCTGGAGCACTGGCTTTCTGCATAACTCTTTTACAAATAGTCTGTTAAACTGAGGTCACTGGTGTGTCTGTAAGCCTTTAAAAGTTGTAGCTTTGGAGTACTGTCTGATTCTGAATGGGGAAATGAGAAGCTACTTTTACAATGCAAAAAAATAATCCCTCCGTGGTCGTTACGGAGCAGTTCGTATTGAGCAGTTCATGCCTCCTGTTCTTGGATGAGCTGGAATAAAAATTTTTATCTCGAGTGTTAATCAGGCTACCTGGAGTTCTGTGAGTGTCTTTGTTGTGTCATAGTTGCATTAATACACACATAGCTTTAAAGAATAAACAGCTGTGTTCTGAGACTTTGAATGATGTGTTAGATCTTCACTGATATTTGTGATGCTCTATAAGATTTTTGCCATATATACATCTGATCCTGTGAATCTGTACCTCAGGTAACTCTGCCCCAGCGTAGCACACAGTTGCATCAGTTAAAACTATCAGCAGAGGAGCAGTCTGTGTACAATGTGCTCTTTGCAAGATCCAGGTATGAATGTGGGTAGAGATACTGTATTTTGTAGTTTTGTTTCTTACTGGTGTGAAAATCAAGAAAAGGAACGCATTTCAGATGAGAAGAGTTTTTGGACAAACTCCTGTTAATGTTTTCCCTTTCTGACTTATCTGACAAGTATGTTTGAAAATACATTGCTTGTACTGGTAGGAGGCAAAACTGATTAATTTCTTTTTTTCCATAGGTTCATGCCTTGTATGAGTTTTGTGTTCTAGCCTTACACTTAATCTCATTGATTTCAAGTGCCAAAGACTTGGAATTGCAACCGTAGTTCTCAAATGATGATGTGCCAGCACTTGTAAAGGAGAGAATTGTCATCTTTGTTCTGTGATACTTGTGCAATCAGAAATTATGCTGGCCTCTCCAGATGATTGTAATGCTAGCCTGCATCACTTGGTGTTCTCCCAGGGTTTCTTTTAATGGTGTCAATGTAAAGGGTTTTCATTCCTTTTAAATATGTATTTAAAGGTGTCCTTATACTCAAGGTATTCCAATAAGCAGACTTGCTGCTTCTTGTGATTTCCAAAACAGATCTTGGTTTTGATCGCACTCAAGTTAAACAAAACTGGGGTTTTTTTCTGATCATTTTGTGACTGAATGATTAATGAAACCTTCCTTTTAATGCATCATCATCTTGCTTGTTAAGCTCAGGGGCTTCTTGCTTTTTTTCCTGCTGTACATTCCAGTGTCTTTGTCTTGGTTTTGCAGGTCAACACTACAATCCTACCTAAAGAGACAAGAGCAGAAAAATGAAGACAGAGAGTATGCTGGTGGTAACCCATTTGAGAAAGGTTTGAGCATACCCTCCCCTGAAAACATTTGCAGAAGTGGCTCTTAAGTGCCCAGTTAACAAGGGGGAACAGACTTGGCCACATGGGGTCAGTATTTAGAAATTCTTTGGATAACGATCTGCTGATGTTACAGAGAAGCCTACTGTAGTATTCCAAAAGTATATTATCACTGTTGCAACTCTGGGAAAATCTCCTAACCTCTTTGGGCCTAAAATTTCTTTCTGAAGGAAAGGTCTCACTGCTCAGACAATAGATGTCAGTGTTATAAGGTATTCTGATTAGTTTTATTGTCTTTTTCTGTTTTGTTTTTTTTTTTTTAAGTGGGGTTTGATGGGTTCCTGTGTTTAATCAGGTGTTTGCATGACTGTTGATTCTTGTCTCTTATGGATGAATTTCTTCCTGGAGGTTGGCTGGGCAGTGCTTGGAAATGGCTCCAAGAGCTCTTGATGTTTTGTCTTCGCTTCCTCTGCAGTTGCACAAGAGTTTGGAGTCAGTCAAAAGGAATTTTTAGCAGGCTCACAAAGTGCCTCCCAGGTCTCAAGTACTGTCCACGTGTTATCCATGCTCTTGAGGCTCCGTCAGTGCTGCTGCCATCTCTCCTTACTGAAAGTGGTAATTGCATTGCTTTGCATTGTATTGTGAGGTCTTTTGTGGGGAATTTTGAGTGTTTGTGTAAGTGAACAGACTGTAACACCCCTGCATTTCTTAGCATGACTTATATGGGCAGCTGTGTCTCTGGAAATTATTTAGATTTTAAAAAAAACAAAGAAACAGAATTTTAATGTGAAAGAAATCTTTGTCTTAAACTAGCCTTGAAGAGTGCAGAAATGTAGCCTGTTTTAAGGGCTTGTGTTTTGGAGAGCTCTGTAAGTGCTTTGATTGAAGTTGCCTTGCATGAAGTAGATTAATCTTTCAGAAGTTCTTGACTCTGTCTTATAAAGCAGCTGCAGAATAAATTCACCTATTAAGGGAACAGGCAGGAATTTATCTTCTAACATCTTTCATCCTGCAGTTGTTAAATGCTGTGGGAGAGGGAGTCTGAGGAGACTGGAGCACAGAAAATGGCTAAGCTCACATGCTTGCTTTATGCTGCCCCTTCTTGGGGAGGGGCCCAAAGGGACTGCTGGTCTGACCCAGTAGTGTTCCTCAATCTTTTTGCCTTCATATTGCACAGCATCCTTCAAACCCACTGTCCTCAGCAGACATTGTGCAGACTGTGGATCAGTACTGAATTTGATCTCAGCCTTGACTGTGATCCCTCATTATATTGCTTTCTTTCCCACAGGCTCTGGATCAAGTTAGCTTGAACAGTGAAGGCCTTTCCCTCTCCATTGAGGAACAACTTGGTGCTTTGACACTGTCTGAGCTCCAGACTCCTGATTCCCAGTCGACAGTCTACCTCAATGGCACAGCTTTTAAAACAGATATCTTTGAAATCACCAGGGAGAGCTCAAAGGTATTCTAGTTTTGGCTTTCTTACCTTCCTTGAGAAGCTTAGATTTCAGCACTTTGTCTTTTAAATTGTTAATGAATTGTCACACCTTGGTAATTGCAGATCAGGCTAAGTTGCCAATTTAGATGAAATCAGATGAGTAGATTGATAGCCTTCTGAACCCCTTGTGGGAGGGCTCCAGCTTCTCAGGTGTTAAGGGGTGCTTCTAGTAAAGCTGTGAGAATCTGACTGCTGAAAAACTGTCAGTGAAAATCTTGAACACTGGATTCACAGAAGTTCTGAAAAGCTTGCATGTGAGACCATGGTGCTTGTGGAAAGCTAGAAAAAAAATGGATGGCAGCAAGAGGAGAGATGGCAATAACTTGGCTTCTCACAGAAAGATTGGAATCTATAAGACATGTTTGTATGATTTGATTTCTTGACCCACTTTTCTGTGGTGGCAGTGTTCTTACCAATGACTCTTAAAATCTCTTTGAAGTCTGAGCACAGGAGAAGTTCCAGTTGAAAAGCTATTTTGATCAGTTTCTGTTTTCATTAAGGGTAGCCAATCATGAGCTGGATTATGAGCAAGCAGACTAACCTTTTATTTTGCTTTCCTGCAGATAGCTCACCTCTTGGCTGAACTGAAAACTATTCAGAGTCACTCAGAGCCTCAGAAAAGGTTAGTGAGCATGTCCTCTTCTGTAGTCATAGTGATTTAGAGAAGCGTGTTACTTGACAACAGCAGAAATACTTTTAAATAATGGTATACAAAACTCCTGGTGTGGTAAAATGGTAGCAGTGCTGCAATAGTGTAATACAGATTTTGAGGAAAAAAAAAATCTAAGACAAAAGAAGGGAATTTAAGATGTAGGTAAGTGTAACCATAAGGGAACATGTGAGAAATCTCAGGCTTTGAGATCCGGGAGGACTCTCTTCTCCAAAAATGGAATTGGAAATAACTTGGTTGCGCTGACAAATATTTGTCCTCTGCTCTGCAACCCACAGCTCAACCTCCAAAAAGTGGAGGAATAAAGTAGAGCTTAAAGCTGACTGTGTTTGAGATAAAGGAATGCACTGATCAGAGGGCCTGTAGTGCTGCTGAAGTCCTGCACTCTCACTGAGCAGGTTCTCCCTGTCTTGGCTGTGCACCAGACTGCAGCAATACAGGGGTTTCTGCTTGCTTTTGTCGAACAGTGCAGAATGCTCTTACAGGTGTGAGGCTGTGAAGCTGCAACACCTCTGTTATGTTGGGGGGGGGTTGGAAGGGGGCATCATGTTGGACATTTCCGGAGTTGCACCGTATGTAGAAAGCTTTTTTCCAGAGTCTTTTCTAAAATGCATCCCCATCATAAGAATGGGAACACCAACATTGCTTTTGTTCCCTTCCAAGAAGCTATTGAACAACTTATTACCTCACAGACTGTTTAGTCCAAGACTTGGTGAGTGAGAGGCTCAATCAATCCAAGTTTATTGTTGCAATTGATTTTTGTGTACTGCAGAAAAAGCTCAGCATTGTGACTTGGAATTGTGATTGGAAATGTAAAATCCGAAAATAGAGGTGAAAGTTACAGACTTAATTTGTGTGAAGTTTATTGGCTATTAGCCTTCCACAGCTGGTTCTACCACTACACCTAGAGGTGAATCTGTTTCTGAATTGGAAAGGGCTTGGTCCCAGTCTGCCATTGGGAAGAGTGCCTGAATTGTTGTCTCCTCCTGGGTGAGACAGTGCAGTAACCAACCTGTTACAGTAACACAGACTTTGTTGTAAGCTCCCTGCTCTCTCTCCAGTGTTGTTGTCTCCCAGTGGACGAGTATGCTGAAAGTTGTGGCTGTGCACCTCCAGCGACTGGGGCTCAAGTACGCAACAGTGGACGGCTCTGTCAATCCTAAACAGAGAATGGATGTGGTAGAAGAGTTCAATAGCAATCCTAAAGGGCCTCAGGTATGCCATCAGGGCAAGGACATAGTCCCTAGTGCTGCTGCTATGAGCAGCTGTGATAGCTGACTTGGTGATTCCATTTGCTGGCACCACTGTTGTTTGGACCTCTACGTGCCAAGATCAGCAGAGAAGGGGGTAGCTGTAAAAACAGATGTAAATCTTATAATAGGCAGGAGCAGCTGCTACAAAGCCCCTTTTGATGTCCACCTTCTGTACTAAAACCATCAAACTCCAAAGCTAGTTCAAAGGTTGTCTGAATCTTCAGTGTGTTTAAATGAAGCATTCATTTTTTGGAAATGGGCTCTCTAACTCTCTTTTGGCCTTTGAAGGTAATGTTGGTCTCATTGCTGGCTGGAGGCGTTGGCCTGAACTTGACTGGAGGAAACCATCTCTTTCTCCTTGACATGCACTGGTAAAAGAAACAAAAGTTCCATCTCTGAGAGTATATGTTGGGCACGTTGCTTTTCTTTCTCACCACGTGTATTGTGATGTCTGATACAACTGGGATAGAAGGGCAGTGTGAGGACTAGTGTTAGTTGTAGGAAAGTGTTTTTACTACAGCTTTCACCCAAGACACTAATTTGTCAATCCAATAAAATACAGTTCCGTAGGGGTAGGAAAATAGAGGAGATAATAAGAAAATAAATCCAAAGAGGCAGGTATGCAGCTCTGTATCACAAAAGGTTACTGGGGACTTGGCAGTCAGTCTCTGCCCTAATTTCCTTTAATAGTGGAAATGGTACAGTCGTGCCTGCAGGAAGTTTTGTCTTGAAACAAATCAATTGTGTTTAGCATAGTCACTAACTGGGCATAACTAAAGTACCTTTGGGTTTTACTTTTTTTTCTATGAAAATAGCGTGTTTGAGTTCCTAATATTTGTTGTTCCTCATCGAAGTCAGAATGGCAGTTTTTTTAAACTCAAGTGTTGCTCATGGGAACTTAAAAGCAAACTAATGTGCCTCACTGCAAAACCAGCTGCTGAGTGGCAGCGTTAAGGTGATGTTTCTGCAATATGGAAGTTACACCAACAAATATTCCCTATAACTTTGTGAAATGGAACCATTTCTTATCCAAATATTCTTGAGTGATGCCCTCTTTCAATAATGGGGTTTGCCTATCTGCTTCACTCTCTTTCCTCACCAGCTACTGGGCTTTCTCTGAGTACAAACTGTTGGCCAGAAATAAGGGTCTACATGGACCAGTGGTCTAAGCCATGCAGCTGGCTTTGTGAGGAGCTGTAGCATTCTTCTACCCAAAGCCAGGGGTGAATACTGGCCAGCAAGCCTGTAAACCTAAGGTAACCTGGGAGCAGTTTTAGCTCTAGAGAGGATGAAAGCAGGATGCACTGCAGGCAGGAAAATGAGGCATCTATATTATTATTATTATTATTATTATTATTATTATTATTATTATTTGTTTTACTTTGCAGGAATCCTGCTCTCGAGGACCAGGCGTGTGACCGCATATACCGAGTGGGGCAGAAGAAGGACGTTGTGATACACAGGTCAGGATTTTACTTAGCAGTAAATGAGGCAGCTGCTGCCCATGTGCTGTCTGGCTTTAGTCAGTGAGACAAGGCCTTGCCTTCTTTACTCAAGAGCTAGACACAAGATCTAGCAGTGGGATTGAGGTTTGGGCACTGAGATAGAACACATGGAAACCTTATGTGGCACTTGCCTGTGTGTTGCTGTCCTGATAGCTAACAGGGATTTCTTGTTTTTCAGCCTGTGGTTTAGTGGGAATGTCCTGTTCATTCCTGAGAATAATTCAGGCACCTAACCTTTCCTCTTTTCTTAATTCAGTGGAGGTTTTTCACCTAAGCCTGGACCTTTCTAGTATCACTAATAACATCATAGAGAACACTTCTATTAAGTAGCAAAGTGGATTTTTAGAAAAAGCATCTATAACTAAGACCTAAAAGGTTAACTTAGTTATTGTAAATACACAGCACATTCAAAGACACTGGAATCCAAAGTGCTACTTTGGGTACAATGATTTTGGTAAATAGATGCCATCAGTTATCAATCAGTCATTTCAGGATTTTGTCACAGAATTACTGCTGCTTCAGATGACCAAAGTCAAAGGCCTTAAGTGCATCAGGCTTATATTTGAAAGGTTATAATATTTGGATATGAGGACAGCTGATTTCTGTTCAGAGGTATATTTTGTCAGTCACATAACAGAGTAATTATCAATCTCTAAGTGAGACGAGTCTTTGGGAGTTTGCTGGGAAAGCACTTAATGCTGACACTTCTTCCTAGCACTTGCGATGATGAGGCTTTTTTTTTTTTTGGTTTTGTTCGTTGGTTTGGGTTTTGATTGTTTGTTTGTTTTTGTTTTTTGTTTTGTTTGGTTTGGTTTGGTTTGGGTTTTTTTTAGGTTTGTCTGTGAAGGAACAGTAGAAGAAAAGATCCTGCAACTCCAGACCAGGAAGAAAGGTCTCGCCCAGCAGGTTCTGTCAGGCAAAGGAGAGGCCCTCACTAAGCTCACTCTGGCTGACCTCAAAATTCTCTTTGGCATCTAATTATCTTTTTCAATACCCAACAGAAAGTAATTTATACCTACAAGTAATGGTGCAGACTTCAACAAAAGACTTCTGTTTTGAGGTGGTCATTTACTTTAAACAAATAACTACATTTTTTAACTTTTCTGGGAAGAACAGTTCAAGAATTTGTTTCAAAACTAAAATTAGATGTTGTATCCAAAGGTTAATAAAATGATAAGTTAAGCTGTTGTTTTAAAACACTTTTAAATAAATATTTGAAACAAAAATGTGCTTGTTTCTTGGGTTTTTATGTGTACTTTTTAGTTAGAAAACTTTCCTTTTCAGCACAGGAGATGCACAGGTGTAAGTGAAACAAGAACAAGAGAGATGAACATGAGGTAGGAGAGTTGAGAAGGTTGAGTGATGAGGTTTGGTAGGTGTGAAGGAAGCAAAAAAAAATATTTTTGAGCACAA